ATTAATTAATTCTTAATTTGAGCAGAGAAAGACACAGAGAGAAATAGAGAGAGGGAAACTGAGAAAGCAAGCCACCAGGCCCGGGACTCGAACCGTGGTCAGCCATGTGGGAGTGTCCAGCACCTTAGCCACCATACCACCTGCTGGTCCCAACAAATAATTCTTTTTTAAAATTATTTTATTTAACTTTATTTATTTATTTATATTTGTGTGTGTGTGTGTGTGTGTGTGTATTTTGTTTTGTTTTGTTTTGGAGAGGTTTTTGCTATAGGGCACGTGTGCTTGCCAGACAGACAGAGAGAGACAGAGAGATAGAAAGCAAGAAATCACTCCCCGGGGGGATGGCCATGCCGCAATCCCTTCTCCTCCATTCACCTCTCGGGATCTTGGGCACAAACGCACGCGCGCCCAGCATGAGTTTAAGCCACTGGGTCCGGGACTTGAACCACGGTAGACTACATGGGAGTCCAGCGATATAGCCATTATGTTAACTTCTGGTCCCTTAACTTTATTTATTCATTCATTTATTTATTTCAATTTGAGAAATACAGAGAAGGACAGAGTGAAAGAGAGAGAGAAAGCAAGCTGCCAGGTCCGGGACTGGAACCGCAGTCAACCTTGTGGGAGTCCAGCACCCTTAACCACCAAGCCACCTGCCAGCCCCAATAAATAAATAATTCTAAAAAAAGAGAAAGATCTGTTATACTTAATAGTTTATGCTACAGTGCAACATATAGTCTTTCACAGCTAGAGCTTCCTGTTTTCATACTGAACTGAAAATTATAATAGTCTTTTCTGGGGCTGGTAGGTAGCGTAGTGGGTAAAGGTGCTGGACTCCCACATGGCCAACTGCAGTTTGAGTTCTGGATCTGGTGGCTTGCTTTCTCACTTTCCCCCTTTCTCTCTCCCTCTCTCACTCTGTCCCTCCCTGGCCAAATTACAAAAGAAAAATCCTTCCTTATTAAAAAAAATCTTTTTGGGGAGCTGGCAAGTGGCATGGTGGTTAAAGGCGCTGGACTCCCACATGGTCGACCACGGTTCAAGTCTCGGACCTGGCGGCTTGCTTTCTCTCTTCCTCTCTCTCTCTGTTTCTCTCTGATCAAACTGGAAAATAATAATGATAATAATATTAAATAAAGTTAAATAAAATAATTCTTCAAAAAAAAACAACCTTTTTTTCTTTAAACATTTTATCCTTTATTATTAAATCACCTGCAAAAACTTCTTGAAGACATTCATAAGTTATGCTGATTGACTCCAACCACATATTACCATTGGTCATATTACTAATAAATATGTAATACTTTATGTTCTTAAAATAGGTAAGAAATGAAAGATAGGGACCAGCAGTTAGCATAATGGCTTTGTCACTGTACGCATGCTCCAGATCCTGGAGACAGGGTCGCCTCGTGACTACGCTCCACTGGGGGTTGTTCTGTCCCTTTCTCTCTGTCTATGGCAATTGCATAAAATTTGCCCTCTGGCAAATTTTAAAAAATGATGGAGAACGGGACCAGCAGTTAGCGTAATGGCTATGTCGTTGGACTCCCACGTAGTTGACCGTGGTTCAAGTCCGGGATCCGGTGGCTTAAACTCAAACCGGGCACGTGTACATGCGTGCCCAAGATCCGAGAGGAGAATGGAGGAGAAGGGATTGCGGCATGACCATCCTCCCTGGGGGGGTGGGGGAGGGGTGGTTTCTCGCTTTCTGTCTCTCTGTCTCTGTCTTTCTGGAGAGTGCACACGCCCTATAGCAAAAACCTCTCCAAAAAATAAATAAATAAAAATAAATAAAATAAAAATATTTATCCATTTTAGCTAATTTTTCATCTTTTCACATTTATTCTTAGTTCTATCATAATAGCTCTAAATTGGTGAAATAACATGCAAGCTACTTAGTATGTAATAGGGATTCAGTTGTTAGTTTCCATCTTTTTTCCTTTATTTAGTATAGAAACTTCAAATCTTTCCTTTAATACAGCTTTTGGAAAAAATTCTTACTTTTTATTTTTTTAATAATTAATTTTATTTATTCATTCATTTATTTTTAATCTAACCAGAGAGAGGGAAAGTAAGGAAGCAAGCCACCAGGTCTGGGACTTGAGCTGTGGTCAGCCATGTGGGAGTGTCCAGCGTCTTAACCACCATGCTACCCACTGGCCCCATTACTTTTTATCTATGTATGTAACTTTTTTTTGAGAGAGAGGTTTTTGCTATAGGGCGCATGCGCTCGCCAGACAGACAGACAGCGACAGAGAGACAGAAAGCAAGAAATCACCCCCCAGGGGGGATGGCCACGCTGCAATCCCTTCTCCTCCATTCTCCTCTCTGGATCTTGGGCACGCATGCACACGCGCCCGGCGTGAGTTCAAGCCACTGGGTCCGGGACTCACACTGCGGTCGACTATGTGGGAGTCCAGCAACATAGCCATTACACTAACTGCTGGTCCCTCTATGTATGTAACTATTAATACTTTAGTACTAACTTCATCAAATGAGAATTTACCAGTTTTCTTTAAGTGAATGGCTACTCTAAAGTCTTTCCAAAAGAGAATATAAGGTAAGATTCTGGGCATAATTCACAGGAGACAGGAAGAATGTGGTAGGTTCAGCTGAAATATGATTTAAAGAATAAAGTTTTATTTAAAGCATCTGTTGGGTTGTTGGAAAAGTTACGATACATTTTGCATAGAAACAGATAAAATATATCATGACTCTTCCGAGAACCCAATATAAAAATGTATTGTACCCTGTGTGTTATGCTGAAATAGGTAGTGTAAAAACTAAATTAAAGAGATGTTATATTGTTTAAAACAATAGGAAAGGCTGATAATCGTTGGAGTTTGGAGATGGATATACGGGGATTCATTATATTAGTCTCTTTAATTTTGTATGCCTGAAATTTTCTACAATAAAAAAGAAATAGGGTTGCCCTGTTGTCTAGTGGTTAAGGGAGCCAAAGCTGACATGGCCGACCCCAGATCGAATCTCAGCTGCTAGCTTCAAAAACATACCATGTGCGCATGTATGTCCAAGGTCCCAAAAGAAGAGAAATGGAGAAGAGACTGCAATGTAACCATATCCCATTTAGGGGTGCTTTTTCTCTCTGTCACTATCCTGTGAGCATATATGCCCTCTGGAAAATTTAAAAAAGAAAAGATTTTCAAACCAGCCAGTAGCATAGTGGTTGGGGAGGCTTAATCCCACATGGTTGACTGCTCAGTTTTAGTCCTGGACCCAGCAGCTTGAAAAACACACTGGGCATGTGTGCTCCAAACCTAAATTGCTCTAAAATAGTCTATTTTTAAAGAGGAAATAATGGGGGGACCAGCAGATTGTGTAATGACTACATCGCTGGATTCCCATGTTGTTGACCGTGGTTTGAGTCCTGAACCAGAGGCTTAAACTCACGCCAGGTGCGTGTGTGTGCATGCCCAAGATCCCAAGAGGAGAATGGAGAAGGAATTGAGGCATGACTATTCCCCCCCGGTGGTGATCTTTCACTTTCTGTATCTCTGTCTGTCTCTCTTTCTGGTGAGCATGCATGTATCTTATAGCAAAAAATCTCTCAAGAAAAAAAAAAAAAGGAAATAATGGGGCTAGCAGGTGGTGTGGTGGTTAAAGGTGATCGACTCCCACACTGACCACAGTTTGAATCCTGGACCTGGAGGCTTGCTTTCTCACTTTCTCTCTCTCTCTTCGTTGCTCTGTGATCAAATTAAAATAAATAAAATAAAATAAAATAATTCTTTTTTTTAAAAAGGAAATAGTAAATGGTTGACCCGAACCTATTCATATCAATTATTACATTAAATAGTAATAAACTACACATTGCAATTAAAAGACAAAATTATTATTAGAATTGAGTTTCTAAAACCAAGATCCAATTACATGCATTGTCCAAGAGTTTTTTAAAAAAGGTCCAATTATACACATTGTCCAAGAGATACACTTTACATATGAAAACAGACAGGTTGAAAGTAAATGGGTAGAACATTAGAACCACACAAACTGTAATGCTAAGAAAGCTGGTGTGGCTTTTTTTTTTTCTTTTTAAAATTCATGATGTAGAGTACATGTGCAAGACAGAGAAGGCCTTAACAGAGTCTGATTGTGTTGTAATCTCCTTCCGCCCTCCACTTTGTCAGAATCTTGGGTGAATGCATGTATGTTTCAGTATGTTTCAGGTCAACCATGCCGGGGATACAAACTGTGGCCAACCAGGCTGGGGATCCAAACCACAGTCAATATGGCTTCCAGCACCGCACCTAGTACACTGACTGTGCCATAGTGTGAGGTGGCAACTTTTGTTTTTTTAGGTTTTTGCCATAGGGCACATACGCTCTCCGGAGAGAGACAAGAGGAGGAAAGTGAGAAATCACTCCCTGGGTGAGAAAGCTAGCTGCAATCCTCTATCCACCATTCTCTTGGGATTTTTGGCATGCATGCACACAGACTCGGATTGATTTTTTAAAATAAATTTTTAAATAATTATTTTATCTAACTTAATTTATTTTGGTTGGACCAGAGAGGGACAGAGCGAGAGAGAGAAAGAGAGAGGGAAAGTGAGAAAGCAAGCTGCCAGGTCCAGGACTCAAACCATTGTTGACTATGTGGGAATCCAATGCCCTTAACCACCACACCAACTGCCAGCCCCCACAATTTATTACTTAACTTGAATTATGTCATTTTTTCAGGGGAAATTAATAAGCTTTTTGTTTACAAAAATATGTGATACTGGGTCTAAATGGTGGTCTTGATAACTCAGCTAGACCCAAGCAGGAAGGCCCTGAGGACCTGTAGATGGGAGGCACATGCCTGTGGTCCAAACTGAGACTGGGGATGGATCATTATGTGCGGAGCCTCTTGGGAGTGCTTGTTTCTTGTCTTTCTCTCTCTCTCTGTCTCACGGAAAAAGTAGATAAGAACATACATATATATATATAACGTTTCAAATAAAGTCATTAAAAATTATTAAACAACATCAAAATATTTTTCAGGTGCAAAAGTAGACAAAGCTACATAATTGGCCCAAGACTACATAGAGAAAATATGAATGATATTTCCCAAAAGGCCGAGGTAAGTAGAAAAGTAAAAAAAAAAGAAAAGAAGAGAAATGTAGAGTTGACCATAGTAGAAGTGTTGAAATGGCAATCATTTGCTGAAAAGTTCATGTTCAGGAGTTTATAATTAATAACATAATGTAGAGATGTAAAATGATGCAATTCACTGGCTAGAGTTGGGCTGGTATTTTAATGTATATTCTTTTTTTAAAGAATTATTTATTTACTTTTATTTGTTACTTTAAAATTTGCTATAAGGAAAGTGTGTTCATCAGTGAGAGAAAGAGAGAGAGATAGAGAGAAGGAAAGTGAGAAAGCAGGTCACTGGGTCCAGGACTCAAACAGCATTTGACCATGTGGGAGTCCAGCACCTTAACCACTATGCCATGTGCCTAGTCCCTTGATCTAGATTCTAATCTATAGTACTAAATTTGTGAATGATAATGGATTGGATGTGATGGCTAGCATCTTGTGTAGATTCTGAAATATCTTGATAAGACATAGAAATTTTTCTTTTTTGGGACCAGCAATTGGTGTAATGGCTATGTCACTGGACTCCCATGTAGTCGACCATGGTTTGAGTTCTGGACCCAGTGGCTTAAACTCATGGCGGGTGCATGTGTGTGTGCCCCCAAGATCCCGAGAGGAGAATGGAGACAGGATTGTGGTGTGGCCATCCTCCCTGGGGGGTGATTTCTCGCTTTCTGTCTCTCTGTCTCTCTCTGTCTTTCTGGCAAGCACATGCGCCCTGTACCAAAAATCTCTCCAAAAAAAAGAAAATAAATTTTTCTTTCTGCATTAAAAAACAAAATAGTGTGATCTATACTCACAGGAGAAAGCAATAATTCACTGTCAAGTGAGGATTCACATTAGCTCCTTCTTCAAGAAACTACAGTAAGATTTTTCTTGCCTTTATTTTTTTCTGGTTCTTGGTCGTAGTTACGGAGAATTGTATTTAAAAAAGCTCAGGGGGCCAGCAGGTGGTGTGGTGGTTAAGTTACTGGACTACCACATTACCGACTGCAGTTCGAGTTGTGGACCCAGGAGCTTGAGAATCATGCCAAGCACATATCTGTGCATGCCCAAAATCCTGAGAGAAGAATGAAGAAGAGGCTGTGGTGTGGCCATCTCCTTGGGGTGTCATCTCTCACTTTCCCTCTTTCTAATGATTGTATGTGCCCTATGAAAAAACTGGAAAAAAAAAGTTTTTTAAACTATTGAGTTATCAGAAAAGTCATGACATATTTTTGCATAGAACAACATGTCATGACTTTTATGATGACCCAATAGAATTCAGAATTTAATATTTTAGCATCAGTGAAACAGTACTCAAAAAATGGGACTTCTTTACTCTTGTATTTTTTGTAATTTCATTTCTCATACTTCAGGTTTTAGAAAGCATCTAATCAGGTGGTAATGTTCCAAATAAAGGTTTCAAACTCATTTCTATTTTCTGTTTCAATAAGTATTTTTATATAGCTTATTCTTATCTATCTTTACATAACTTATTCCTATCTTTTTTTTTAAACTTTCTTCTCTTTATTTTCTCTTAATGAAGATTCTGCTTTCTTCATCTAAACCTGTCCCAAAAACCTATGTGCCTAAACTTGGCAAGGGTGATGTAAAGGATAAATTTGAAGCCATGCAGAGAGCCAGGGAAGAAAGAAATCAAAGGAGATCTAGAGATGAAAAGCAAAGAAGAAAAGAACAATATATTAGAGAGAGAGAATGGAACAGGAGAAAGCAGGAGGTTATTTTATTTTATTTTATTCTTGTGAAAATATTCATTTTCATCTTTTTAATTAACATTTTATTTCTCACTCATATTAATCATATTTCATATTAACTCTTGTTGAAATACTTTTCTGTATTTGTACCCTAATTTAAACTCTGTGTGCAATATTATTTTTGTCTAATTTTTGGACATGTGTTCATATTAACTTATTTAACTGTTTAGATTAAAGAAATGCTTGCTTCTGATGATGAGGAAGAGATATCTTCTAAAGTAGAAAAGGCTTATGTCCCAAAGCTAATAGGTAAGAAACATGATGGGTAAATTGCAAATGAAGTTGCAAAAATAAGTAAATAAATAAAAAGATATATAGCAAAGTACCAAACATTTTTCTTATATTCTTAGGAACTGTTAAAGGTAAATTTGCTGAAATGGAGAAACAAAGACAAGAGGAAGAAAGGAAGAGAATGGAGGAAGAAAGAAAACGCAGAATTGAGCAAGATATGTTAGAAAAGAGGAAGATACAGCGTGAATTAGCCAAAAAGGCAGAGAAGGTATACAGTAAATATTAAGTTGCTTGTGAAACTATTGTAGTGTATACAAAGTAAATTAGTGTATTGCCTTATTAAAATATTTTAATCAACATAAACCTATTTAACAGCAGTTAACCTGAAGAGAAAATTTCAAGGAAAAAATATTTAATATTTGATGCTAAAAGGAGCTAGCAGGTGGCGTGTGATTAAGGCACTGGACTCCCACATGGCAGACTGTGGTTTGAGTCCTGGACCCAGTGGCTTGCAAACCACATAGGACATATGTTTGTGCATGCCCAAAACTGTGAGGGGAGAAGGAACGAGATCGGATGTGAAGGGATGCTGGTGTGGCCATCCCCTTTTGGAGCGTGATTTCTCACTTTCCTCTCTCTGTATCTTTCTGTCTCTCTCCTCTCCTGCAAATGCATATTCCTTAGGACAAAAACCTAAAAAAAAGTTTAAAAACACACAGGATTCTCAGAGATAGATGGAAATAAAATATGACCATGAAAAAAAAACTACTTTTTTAGTAAATTTAAATACATGTTACATGACAGAATGCCACAGAACCTTAGTTTGAAATTTTTGGGTTACTAGAAAAAAGAATAGGCAGGTAGAACAAAGTAAACTTTTTTTTTTTTTGGAAGTTTTTGCTATAGGGCACATGTGGTTGCCAGAGAGAAACAGAAAGCAAGAAATCACCTCCCAGGGGAATGGCTGCACTGCAGTCCCTTGTCCATTCTCCTCTAAGATTTTGGGCACACACACACGTACGCATTCAGCATGAGTTTCAAGCAATTGGATCCAGCACTTGAACTGCAGTCGGCCATGTAGCAGTCCAGCTGGGTCTGCAACTCGAACAGCACTTGATCACGTGGGAGTCCAGCACCTTAACCACTATGCCATCTGCTACCTCCCCAAATACACTATTAATAGTAGTCTCATCTTGTAAATATGTAAAGCCTAATTTTAAAATTGAATTAAGTAATTTCCACTAAAATTTAAGATATTTATTTATTAGAGAGATATTTGCTATAGGGTATGTGCACTCACCATAGAGAGACGGAGACAGAAAGTGAGAAATAATCCCCTGGGAGTATGACCACACTACAATCCCTTCTCCTCCTTTCCCCTCTTGAAATTTTGGACATGCACAAACATGCACTTGGTGAATTTTTTTTTTTTTTGAGAGGTTTTTGCTATAGGGCGCGTGCGCTCGCCAGAAAGACAGAGAGAGACAGAGAGACAGAAAGCGAGAAATCACCCCCCCCCGGGAGGATGGCCACACCACGATCCCTTCTCCTCCATTCTCCTCTCGGGATCTTGGGCATGCATGCACATGTGCCCAGCATGAGTTCAAGTCACCGGGTTCGAGACTCAAACCGTGGTCGACTACATGGGAGTCCAGTGACATAACCATTATGCCATCTGCTGGTCCCAAAATCTAATATAATTTTTATAGTTTTTTTTTTTTCTTTTGCTGTGTACTCATCAGAGAGAGAGAGCAGAAAATGAGAAATCACCTCCCAAGGGGGTTGGCTACACTGCAGTTCCTTCTTCTACACTCTCCTCTAGGGCTTTTGGGCATACACGCATATGTACCTGGAATGAATTTTAAGCTGCCAGATCCGGGATTCAAACTGTGGTCGACCATGTGGGATTCCAGCAATGTAACCATTATGTCATCTCCTGGTCCTGAAACTCTAATATAATTTAATGTATCTGTGGATATAAAGCGTAAGTATGGCATAGGTACTGAAGAAGAGTCTTTTTGTTTTTAAAGAATTATTTAACTTTACTTATTTATTTATTTATTTATTAAAAAATTATTTTATTTAACTTTATTTATTTTAATTTGACCAGAGAGGGACAGAGAGAGCGAGAGAGAGAAAAAACAAGCTGCTAGGTTCCGGACTCAAACCACAGTCGGCCAAGTGGGACTCTAGCGTCCTTAACCACCACACCACCTGCTGACCCCTTACCTTTATTATTATTATTCTTTTTCAATTTGTTATAGGGTACATGTACTCACCAGAGAGAGACACAGAGAGAGGGAAAGTGAGAAAGCAAGCTGCCAGGTCCAAAACTCAAACTATGGTTGGCCATATGGGAGTACAGTGCCTTTAACAACCATACCACCTGCTGGTTCCACTGAAGAAGAGTCTTAATGTTTATTTGCAAAGTCACTTAAATCCACGTGCAAGAATACTATAAAAATTATTCCTGAATGAAGTGGGTGACTGAATTAGTTGACCTCCAAGATTATTACCAGTTCTAAGATTCTATAGGTTCTTTTTTTTTTAAAGAATTATTTTTTTATTTAACTTTATTTATATTAATTTGACCAGGGAGAGACACAGTGAGTGAGAGAGAGAATGAGAGAGCAAGCCGCCAGGTCCGGGACTCACTAGCGTCCTTAACCACCACACCACCTGCCGGCCCCTCCATAGGTTCTTACTTTGTGTATTGGATGTTAGAATCAAAGACCAATAACGTTCGGGGAAGAATTCTGATCTGGTATTTTGTGGTTATCTTTGAGGTTATCCTGATGGGCAAAGTTAAAAATCATCAATTTGGAAATAAGAGGTTTTGTTGGGACCAGCAGTTAGCGTAATGGCTATGTCGCTGGACTCCCACTTAGTCAACCGCGGTTCGAGTGCCGGTCCTGGCGGCTTAAAACTCAAATGGGGCGCGTATGTGTGCATGCCCAAGATCCCGAGAGGAGAATGGAGGAGAAGGGATTGCGGCGTGGCCATCCCCCCTGGGGGGTGATTTCTCGCTTTCTGTCTCTATGTCTCTATCTGGCGAGCGCACGTGCCCTATAGCGAAAAAAAAAACCTCTCGCCCCCCCCAAAAAAAAGAGGTTTTGTTTTTGTGAAGAAAGATTTGAATAGAGAAGGGAAATGGGTCAGCCAGTAGAATAGTGGTTAAGGCAGCTTGATCCCATATGCCATTCTAATCCTTGACCCAGCAGCTTCAAAAACACACTGAACATGCTTGTGTTTCCAAAATCCCATCAGGAGGGAGTAATGGAGGAGAAGGGATTGTAGTGTGACTTCCCACGAGAATTGCTTTCTCATTTTCTCTGTTTCTCTTTCCAGTGAGAGCATACACCCTCGGGCAAAAAAAATTGAAAAGAAAAGAGAAGGGAGAAAAGGAAGTTGATTTGTGAAGGAGCAAAAAGTTTTCTTTTTGTGCCAGCAGGTGGTGCAGAGGTTAAGGCAGCTGGATCCCACATTGCTGACTGCATGGTTCAAGGCTTGGACCCAGCGGCTTGAAAAGACACTGGCATGTGTGTACACATGAGACTGAAATCCCGAGAAGAGAAATGGAGAAGGGATTGTAGTGTGGCTGTCTCTCCTGTGGGGTGGTTTCTCAGTTTCCCTCTCTATCTCTCTCTGTCCAGAGCATGCATCATAGACCTAAAACTAAAATTAAAAAAAAAAGAAAGAAAGAAAGATGGAGCTGGCAGGTGGCATGGTGGTTAAGGCCCTGGACTCCAACATGGCTGACTATGGTTCAGGTCCCGGACCTGGGGCCCGACAGTCACAACAAATAAATAGATAAATAAATAGATGTTAAAATAAATAAATGCATGTTTAAAAAGAAAGAAAGAGTTTTGTTTTTTTTTTTTTGGGCGGGGAGGTTTTCGCTATAGGGTGCATGCGCTCGCCAGACAGACAGAGAGAGACAGAGAGACAGAAAGTGAGAAATCACCCCCCAGGGGGGATGGTCACACCGCAATACCTTCTCCTCCATTCTCTTCTCTGGATCTTGGGCACGCACGCACACGCGCCCAGCATGAGTTTTAAGCCACTGGGTCCGAGACGGGAACCGCGGTTGACTACATGGGAGTCCAGCGACATAGCCATTACGCTAACTGCTGGTTCCCAAGAAAGAAAGAGTTTTGAAGCAGTTTTTCAATGATAGTTTCTGAAAGTCACCATTATAACTAAACTTCTGAATATTTGTTCTCTGTAAATATACCGACGCCACAGCCACCTAGATAAATCCATTTTTTTCCCTTGATTGAAAAAAAAAAATTCTATCTTTTATTGATTTGATAATAATTTAAAATGAGGAAAGAAACAAGCACGCAAAAATAAAAATTTCCAAATATGTTAACCTTACCATAAGTTAATGAAGATCTGGAATTTTGTAATAGTGAGATAAAGAAAGTTGGAATAAAGAAATTTAGTGTTTCTTGGCCCAGCTGCAGTGGTGAATGTGGTAGGGTGCCTCTGTATTATACTGGAACCTCATGGGAGGTCTGGTTTTGGATCCTGGGTTGACCTGAACACACTGGGTATGTCAGTGATCCACCCTGACAAGTGGTACCTGTGTGTATATGCACATATATGCATGTGTATGGGTGTTTCTCTCTTGAAATAATTTTTTCAATATAAAAAGTTTGAAAAAAAGAAATTTAGTATTTCTCTTTCATATACTCTCAAAGTCTACCTTCTTGCCATGTTTCCTGAATCTTTTTATTGAGAGATTGATTTGTAGAAAAGTTATCAGTATTCTTCTTTTTTTTTGGAGAGGTTTTTGCTATAGGGCGCGTGCGCTCACGAGACAGACAGAGAGAGACATAGAGACAGAAAGTGAGAAATCACCCCCCAGGGAGGATGGCCACGCTGCAATCCCTTCTCCTCCATTCTCCTCTCGTGATCTTGGGCATGCACACACACGCGCCCGGCGTGAGTTTAAGCCACTGGGTCCCAGACTCGAACCACGGTCTACTACGTGGCAGTCCAGTGACATAGCCATTATGCTAACTGCTGGTCCCTTTTTTTTTTTTTTTTTTAAGAGAGATTTTTGCTCAGGGGCACGTGTGCTCTCCGGAGACACAGAAAGAGACAGAGAGACAAAGTGAGAAATCAATCCCCCACAGGATATGGCCACACCATAATCCATTCTCCTCTCAGATTTTAGGCACACATACACACACATGTGCCTGGCGTGAGGTTTAAGCTACCGGGTGCAGGACTTGAACCGTGGTCAACTAAGTGGGAGTCCAGCAACATAAACATTATGCCATCTGCTGTCAGTATTCTTTCGAAGAGAAGTAATTCTTTCAATGTGGTGAAAACAGTGAAAAAGTGTTTACTTAGAATTAATCAGCTGGGCACAGTTTAGATGATCCCAATTTTGTTGGCAACATCCAAAGCATCATAATCAAGAGCCAGTGGCACATAAACCTTCTTCTCTCTGTCAGGCCTGATTATGGTGTTGACCTTGGCCACATCAGTATCAAAGATCTTCTTCACAGCCTGTTTGATCTGGCACTTGTTGGCCTTGCTATCTACAATGAACACAAGTGTGTGTTGTCTTCTATCTTCTTTATGGCAGACTTGGTGGTCAGGGGAAACTTGATAATAGCATAGTGGTTGAGCTTATTTCTCCTAGGGGCATTCTTCTGAGAATATTTGGGCTGCCTCTGGAGCCACAGTATCTTGGGCCTCTGGAAGGTGGATGATGTGTGTGGATCTTTTCTTTTTTTTTTCTTTTCTTCCTTTTTTTTTTTTTTTTTGTGGCTATAGACACCTTTCAACACTGCCTTCTTGGCTTTCAAAGCCTTTGCTTTGGCTTCAGCTTTGGGAAGGACAGGAGATTCTTTCTTCGTCTTTGTCACCATTATGCCCAAAAGGCCATTCTTTAAGTATTTTATCATAGACCCATTTAAAGTTGTCTTGGTACAGTACATCATTCAGTAAAACTTTCACCAGGAATGGCTTTGTATCCTAGTACTTAAGGGAGATGGATTCTACATGGCCGACCATAGTTCAAATCCTAGCTTGATGGCTTGGAAAACACACTAGGCACATATTCATGCATGCTCAATATCCTGACAGGATGGAGAAATAGAGAAGGGCTTGTGGCATGACCATGCCCAATTGTGGAGTACTTTCTCTGGCTCTTTCTGGTAAGCACAAGTGCACTCTGGCAATAAAATCCATCCATCCATCCATCCATCCATCCATCCATACATACATACATAATAACGCCTTCACCCTTTACAACAAATTCCATAACAAAGCAAATTACTCTGAATAAAATATGTTGTTGTATACAAAATAATTATGATTAAAAATATTAAAAATAAGTTACTAAAGCATAAACAGATGTTTTTAGAGAGTACATGCACTCACCAGGGAGAGATAGAGAAGGGAAAAGGGAGAAAGCACCTCCCCATGGGGCATGGTTGCACTGCAATCCTCAGTCCCCACCCTTTGTGATTTTGATTACACACACACGAAGTATTTTGTAAGCCAAGACTTGAACCATTCAGTTGGCCCTGTGAGATCCAGCTCCCTTAATACATAGGCCAGCTTTGCCATTTATCCATTTTTAAAGAATATTTTATTTAACTTTTTATTTATTTATTTATTTATTTAAATTTGACAAGTGGAACAGAGTGAGAGAGCGAGAGCAAGAGCAATGGAGAGAGAGAGAGACAGAGAAAGTGAGAAAGCAAGCTGCCACATCTGGGACTTGAACTGTGGTCAGCCATATGGGAGTCCAGTGCCTTTAACCACTATACCACCTGTCGGCACCTTGACTTTTTCTTTATTTTTTAGAATTATTTCATTTAACTTTATTTATTCATTTATATATTTATTTTCATTTGACCAGAGAGGATCAGACCAAGAGCGAGAGAGAGGGAAAGTTAGAAAGCAAGCTACCAGGTCTGGGACTTGAACTGCAGTAGACCATGTGGGAGTACAGTGCCTTAACCACCATGCCCTTCCCCTCAAGCTAACTCATTTATGTATCTTATAAGTAAATGTCCAAATTGAGAGCCCATTTTTTATTTTCTCCCTTTTGGGAATGGGTTTTGTTTTTGGTGTCTTAGATAGTGTATGCTTGCCAGAGAAAAAGCCTTGCAATGGGGTGTGGTCACACCACAATCCCTTCTCCTTTGTTTCTCCATTCTATCAGGATTTGGAGCAGGCATGCATAGACACCCAATGTGTTTTTCAAGTTGCTAGGGCCTGGATTCAAACCATGGTCTGCCATGTGGGATCCAGCTCCCTTAACTACTAGGTCATGCTGCTGGCCCTGCCTGCATGCCTACTGTTTTTTTTTTTTAAGAAAAAATTTATTTACTTTTGTTATTGTTGTTTATTTATTTTTTATTTTTTGCTATAGGGCACATGTGTCCACCTGAAAGAGAGAGAGATGGAAAGTGAGAAAGCAAGCCAACAGGTCTGGGACTCAAACTGTGGTTGACCATGTGGGAGTTCAGCTCCTTAACTATCATGCTACTTGCTGACCTGAGCTCCCACTTTTTATTTATTTATTTAAAAAATTATTCATTTAATTTAATTTATTATTATTATTTCTTAAGATGACCAGAGAGAGACAGAGAAAACATGTTGCTGGGTCTGGGACTCGACCCGCAGTCAGCCATGTGGGAGACCAGAGCCCCAACTACCACAGCACCTGCCAATCCCATGCTCCCACTTTTTAAGTAAGGGCTTTTCCTAGTTAAATCTGGTCAAGCTATAAAGAAAATATTATGACTATTAGAATTATCTTCCCTTTCTAAACTAGCTGATGTCTTTCATAGTACTATGTTATTGTGTCTATATATCTGCCATGCTTAAAATTTACACATGACGTGACATTTATTTGATTGCTAATGATAGATTTTCCTTTTGCTGCAGCAGGGACAGAGAATGGAGAAATGTTTCTGTGCATCTTAGTTTAAAATGCTAATTAAATTAGCAGTTGCTGCTTGAAAACTCATATCAGGACATGAGATTTTGGTCTACTATTCAATTTCCAAATTTACAAAGGTAGTTTTGTAAATTGAGTTTTTATTCGTTTTTTTCTCAACAGTGACATTACTATCAAAATACAAAAATGAATGTAAAGTTTAATCTCCCTTTAAAAAGACATAGTTGGCTGATTTGGAGCAGCATAAAAATAAATCAAAAATTATAAATTTGAAAATATAATTTACAACTAAATTACTTATCAGTTGTATGTTCAAAAACAAAAAGCCTTTGTAATGTAATTATATGAAATTCTCATTCAATAGATTGAGGACATAAACAATACGGGAACTGAATCAGCATCAGAGGTAAACAGACATTTCCTTTAATGAAACATTCACCTAAAAGTTTCTGATTCACAAATTATCTTTTAATCTGAGAGAAACTAAAAGGGCTTTTATATTATTGTTTTCTTTTCTAAGAATTATTTTAACTTTATTTATTTATTGTAATTTGACCAGAGATGGACACAGAGAGAGAGAGAAAGTAAGAAAGCAAGCCTCCAGGTCCAGGACTTGAACCAAGGTTAGCCATGTGGGAGTCTAGTGCCTTTAACCACCTTGCCACCTGCCAGTCCCTATTGTTTTCTTTATAAATGTAGCAACAACAAAAAAGATAGAAAAATGTTTTGCAAAGCAAGATAATAATTTTGCTATTTTAAACACTATCATGTAGTTTTTTTTAAAAGAATTATTTAATTTTATTTATTATTTCATTTATTTTCATTTGACCAGATACACACACACATACACACACAGAGGTAAAGTGAGAAAACAAGCCTCCAGGTCCAGTACTCCAACTGTGGTCAGCCATGTGGGAGTGTCCAGTGCCTTCACCACCATATCACCTGCTGGCCCCCTCATTTAGTGTTTTTAGAGAGAAGTACTTTTTTTTAAAGAATAATTTTACTTACCTTTATTTATCTATTTATTTATTTAAAATTTACCATAGAGGGACAGAGGGAGAGCAAAAGAGAGAAAGAGAAAGCAGGCCGCCAGGTCTGGGACTGAAACCATGCTCGGCCATGTGGGAGTCCAACACCCCCAACCACCACGCCACCTACCAGCCTCTAGAGAGAAGTATGTTTTTGCTCTCATAGTTAGACTAGAAAAATATTATCGGGACTAGCAGATGGCCTAATGGTTATGTTGTTGGACTGCCACGTAATTGACCACAGTTAAAGTCCTGGACCTGGTAGCTTAAAATTCACGCTGGGCACATGTGCATGTGTGTCCAAGATCCCAAGAGGAAAATGGAGGAGAGATGATTGCAGTGTGATCATCCCCTTTGGGGGTTGATTTCTTGCTTTCTGTCTCTCTCAGGCTAGTGCACATGCTCTATAGCAGAAATCTCTCTGGAAGGAAGGAAGGAAGGAAGGAAGGAAGGAAGGAAGGAAGGAAGGACATTCTTATGAGTATGAGGTTTGGGATACCCTGTCAAAGCAACATACTTCTTGAGCTGTCACTAACTGCTGAGAACTTCAAAAGCTAACCTTTTTAAAAGGCAGTTTTCTTTCCATCATTTGTCTTCTTTCCTCAGAGTTCCTGAGAGTTTGTTTTGGTTTTCACATACTAATAAAGTACAGTATCTATTACCATGAAGGAATGTTTAGTGACCACAAAATTTTAGCCATCCCATTTTATCTAACTGAGAAAGCTAAAAATAAGACAATTTGATGGTGTGCCTAAAACTACAGCCATGTAAATTGGAAACAATTTTCTTTTAGAGATATGTTTTATATTCTATAAGTCTTTATTTTTGAAAAAAGTTAGAGGCAACAATAGGTTATGTAACAGAATTAAAATAAAATTTAAGGGGCCAGCAGACGGCATAATGGTTACATTGCTGGATTCCCACATGGCTGACCACAGTTCAAGTCTCAGAACTGGTGGCTTCAAACTCGTGCAGGCATGTGTGCATGCATTCTCAAAATCCCAAGAGGAGAATGGAGAAGGGATTGCAGTGTGGCCATCCCCCTGGGAGGTGATTTCTCACCTTCTGTCTCTTTCTCTCTCTCTCTCTCCAGTAAGCACACGTATTCTATAGCAAAAATCTCTAAAAAGAAACAAATTTAAAAAACAATACATTTTAAAATATTTTAACAAAATCAAATACCAAAGAGCTTTATCTATAAATGTTTAATAAATCACTTGGAAATACTATGTTTTTTTCCCTCACTAAATATTTGTTTTATTGAGTATTTAAAAGCTTTTACAGAGAGAAAAATCATACGGAGAAACTTTGTTTAAATTGAATTGACCCATCATCAAATTGACTTAGAGTACAAACACATGCACATTACCTTTGTGAAATTAGTGCACCAATAGCTAAATTCAGGCAAGTCACTGCAGTTTTGTCATCTGAATAGCTGTATTAACTACATCTTCTAGGAAAGTGGATGCTTCTTGAACCTTGTCAGCAATGGCTTTCAGTAAGATTAACTCATAATACACAAGTTAGGGAAACAAATATTTACTAATAATCTATCAAGAAAAGTTTTGTTCTTCATAACAACACTGATGGCAATGTAATGAATTCAACAGTGATGGAGATAAAGTCCCATGAAACTTAAATTTTGATTAAGAAATATGCTAATTATTTATCTTATAAAATAGGAAGGAGATGATTCACTACTTATAACAGTGGTACCTGTCAAACCATACAAAACATCTGGAAAACTAAAAGCAAATTTTGAGGACCTAGAAAAAGAACGAGAAGAGAAAGACAGGATCAATTATGAAGAAGACCAAAGAGTAAGATATGAGGAACAACGACGATCTCTTAAGGAAGCAAAATGTCTTTCATTGGTCATGGTAATTTATATATATATTATATATATTTTTAAAGGAACAAATCAAATCAGTTAAGTTACTCGGCAGTATTTCCTTTTATGACTAACAGGTGGGTTTTCACAGGATGATGAAATGGAAAACGAGGCAAAAAAAGAGTCATTTTTTCCTGGAAAATTGAAACTAACTTTTGAAGAATTGGAGCGACAAAGGCAAGAAAACCAAAAGAAGCAAGCTGAAGAGAAAGCAAGACAACGTTTAGAAGAAGAGAAGCGTGCTTTTGAAGAAGCAAGGCAGCAAATGGTAAATGTATATATTTAAACTTTACATTTAATATCAGGGTAAGTAGCTGGCTTTAAAGAATGTTCATTACCGGGACCAGCAGATGGCCTAATGGTTAAGTTGCTGGACTCCCACATGGCCAACCATGGTTCAAGTCCCAGACACAGTGGCTTTAAAATCACACCGAAAGCATGTGGGTGTGGACACAGTGGCTTGAAACTCACACTGAATGCATGTGGATGTGTGCCCAAAAATCTCAAGAGGAGAATGGAGAAGGGATTGTGGCATGGCCATTTCCCCTGGGAGGTGATCTCTTGCGTTTTGTCTCTCACTCTGTCCCTCGGGTGAGCATGTACGCCCTATAGCAAAAATCTAAAAAAAGGTCCATTACCATCCATTCAAGGGGATGTTCTATTAATATATAAAAAGGCTTAATTTTGAAACTATATGCATATTCTATATGTAAAATATGTATCTGAGACTGGCTCCATAGCATAGCAGCTTAGGCAGCTGGATCCCATATGGCCGACTATGGCTGAAACCCCAAGTCAGCAGCTTGAAAGAAACACCAGGTGCATATGCGTGCCCTAAATCCTGACAAGACAGAGAAGTGGAGGAAAAAGGATTGCAGGTGACCATGCCCCAGCTGGGGGATCTCTCTTCCTCTCTCTCTCTGGTGAGTGTATGCACTCTGGCAATTAAAAATAAAAAGTATATCTGCATTGTTTGCTAGTTTCTACTTTGGCAATTTTACTCAATATGTTTTTTTGTTTTTGCTGTAGGATGCATGCACTCACCAGAGAGAGATAGAGACAGAGAGACAGAAGATAAGAAAGTATCTCCTAGGAGGATGGCCATACCACAATCCTTTCTCCATTCTCTTTTGGGGATTTTGGGCATGCATGCACACATTACTGGAGTGATTTTCAAGTCACCAGGTCCAGACTCAAATTATGGTCAATCATGTGGGAATTCAGAGCCTTAACCACCACGCCAGCTGTTGGCCCCTTTTTCAATTGCCAGAGGGTGTGTACACTGACCAGAGAAGAAGAGAGAAAAGAGAGAGAGAAAGCACCCTAGAGTGGGTCATGGTCATTCTGCAACCCCCTTTCATTCTTTCCTCCACCTTGTCAGGATCCTGAGTATGCAAGCATAAGTGCCTCGCATGTTTTTCAAGTTGCTGGGGTAGAGATATGAACTACTGTTGGCCATGTGGGATCCAGCTCCCTTAAACACTAGGCTACATGGCTGGTCCTGGTCCAGTTTTTCAAATGTTAGACAGATTAGAATAATAGTTTGTGGGCCAACCGGTGGTGTGGTGGTTAAAATGGCCATCTCGTACATGGCTGACTGCGCGGTTTGAGTCCCAGACCTGGTGGCTCCTAAAACACATCATGTGAGTGTGCATACATGCCTAAAAATCCTGAGAGGAGAGTGGGGGAGTATATAAAGTGTGGCTATTCCCCCTGAAGGTGCTTTCTCATTTCCCTTCTCTCTCTAGCAAGCATACAAGCCCTAGAACAAATTTAAAATACAGTTAACAGTTTACTATGGAATATGCAGTTTGTCCTATGAGGTATGTATGTGAATATATGTACATAGTTCAGTGCTTAAGAGCATGGATTTTGGACAGACTACCTGGAGTCAAATACTGACCATTTATTAAGTGTGTAACCATGGATAAGTTAATCTGTCTCTTCATTTGTAAAATGGAGAAAATGATAGATGCCTATGTCTTAAATGATTATATGAGCTAATGTATAAGAAAACACTGGGACCAGCAGTTGGAGTAATGGCTATGTTGCTGGACTCCCATGTAGTCGACCGCGGTTCAAGTCACAGACCCAGTGGCTTAAAGTCAAGCCGGGCGCATGTGCGAGCCCAAGATCCTGAGAGGAGAATGGAGGAGAAGTGATGGTGGTGTGGCTATCTCCCCTGGGGGGTGATTTCTCACTTCCTGTCTCTGTCTCTCTCTTTCTGGAGAGCACATGTGCCCTATAGCAAAAACCTCTCCAAAAAGAAAGAAAGAAAGAAAACACTAAATAACTAGTGTTTGGCATCTACTAAGTACTTTAAAAATGTTAATTGCTGTAGTTTCGTTGTCCCCTAGAAATTCATGTGCTGGCACTTGATTACATTATGAAGGTGTTAAGGAAAAACTTGATTACTCATATTGTCCAAGGGTGAAGCCTCTGGATGTCATAAGAGTTTTTAGAGCAGGGCCCCAGTGATGTCTAGTGTGTTTACAAAGGGGGAAAGGTTATCAGAGGAAGGAGAAAATTATGGACAGATGCTGTGCTCATGATCCTGCCCTCTGCCATGTTGTAGCCTCATCAGAAGTTGGCCCCAGAACCTCCAGACTATGGCACTGAATAAACCTCTATTTTTTAATTCTTTTATTTTTTAATCTGCTACAAGGTTATGTGTATTGGCCAAAGAAAAAGACAGAGAGGGAAAGTGAGAAATCACACCCAGGAGTAGGGGGATGCAACTCCATAATCCCCTTCTCCTCCACTGGCCTCGGGATTTTGGGCATACATGCACATGTGCTCAGCATGTTGAATGTCAAGCCACCAGGTCTAGGACTTGAACTGTGCAGCCAGCTGTGTGGGATACAGCCATCTTAACCACCACGCTACCAGCTAGCCCCAAACTTATTTTTTTTAATAATTATTTTTTAAATAATTCTTTTGAAAGAATTGTTTAAATAATTCTTTTATTTAAATTTCTTTATTTATTTTAATTTGACCAGAGAGAGACAAAGTGAGAGACAGCGAGAGAGAAGGAAAGCGAGAAAGCAAGCCACCAAGTCCAGGACTTGAACCATAGTCAGCTGTGTGGGAGTCTAGAGCTCTTAACCATCACACCACCTGCCGGTCCCCCACCTCAGATATTTCTGTGAGGAATGTAATAATGGACAAATACTTTAACTATTACGATTACTATGGTATTGATAGATTTATTAAAAAAAAAAAAAAGTGAAATAACACAATACTGATTCCAGATCTCATTTTAAGAATTTAAAATGGAGGGACCACCACCAAATGGCATAAGGGTTATGTAGCTGGAGTCTCACATAGTTGACTATGTTCAAGCCCCAGACCTGGCAGCTTAAAATTCATGCTGGGTGCATGTGCATGCATGCCCAAGATCCCAAGAGAAGAATGGAGGAGAAGGGATTGTGGCATAGCCATCCCCCCGAGAAGTGATTTCCCACTTTCTGTCTCCCTCCGTCTCTCTAGTGAGCACATGTGCCATATAGCAACAATTTCTCTTAAAAAAAAAAAAGAATTTAAAATGGAATATGTGTAATTTTTAGTTACCAGAACTTTCTTTTTTTTTTTTTTTTGGAGAGGTTTTTGCCGTAGGGTGCGTCCACTTGCCAGAAAGACAGAGAGAGAAAGAGAGACAGAAAGCAAGAAATCACCCCCCAGGGGAGATGGCCATCCTACAATCCCTTCTCCTCCGTTCTCCTCTCGGGATCTTGGGCACACACGCACATGTGCCTGGTGTGAGTTTAAGCCACCAGGTTTGGGACTCAAACAGTGGTTGACTATATGAGAATCCAGCAATGTAGCCATTATGCCATCTGCTGGTCCCACAGAACTTTGTTGATCTGCTTTCATTAATGATGTTCTGAAAATTATGCTGGGTCAGCTAGTGGCACTAGGTCAGCTGAATCTCACATAGTCAACTGTGTGGTGTGAGTCCTGGACTCTGTGGCTTAAAAGACGCACTGGGCACTTGTGCATGCATGCCCAAAGTCCCAAAAGAAGGAAAAAAGAGACTGTAGTATGACCATCCCACATGTGGGTTTTTTTTTTCACTTTCCCTCTCTCTTTCTGTCTCTCTACAGTAAGCACATGTACCCTCTGACAAATTGTAAAACAATAAAAAATTGGGGCCAGCAGGCAGTATGGTGGTTAAGGCACTGGACTCCCATATGGCCAACCATGGTTTGAGTCTTGGACCTGGTGGCTTCAAAATCATGCTGGGTGTGTGTACATGCATGCCCAAAAATCCCAGGAGAGTGGAAGAGAAGGGATTGTGGTGTGGCCATCCCTTCTAGGCCTCTAGGGGGTGATTTCTCTTTCCTTCTTATTGTCTCTCTGTCTCCCTGGCAAGCACATTCACTTTGTGTTGAAAAAAAAAAAGAATAATTATGTCTCAAATTTTTAATTTTGTAGGCATTTTAAAATATAATTACTGGGGCCATTAGTTGGCATAGTGGTTTAGTGGTTGGAGCACTGTAAACCCACAGGGCCGACCACAGTTTGAGTCTCAGACCTGGTGGCTTGTTTTCTCTCTCTCTTTGGTGAGTTCATGGGCCCTATAGCAAATTTAAAAATAATAAATAAATAAATAAATACTTAAAATTAAATAAATAATTTAAAACATATAACTATTGGGGGCCAGCAGGTGGCATGGCAGTTAAGGCGCTTGACTTCCACATTATTGACTGCAGTTCAAGTCCCAGACCTGGCAAGTTGCTTTCTCACTGTCCCTTTCTCTCTCTGGTCAAAATAAATAATAATGACAAATAAAATTAAATAAATATTTTTTAAAAATAATTCTTTTTGGGTAATTATTGTTACATAATACCTCCACATTTAGATGTCACTGGTAGTCAATCTAATAAAGAAACAGAAATATCATTATTAAAAGAACACATTTCAACTAACATTTTAATAAATTTAATAATAACATTTTCATTATAAAGTCATAACACTTGATGTTTATATAAAATAAGTTCCAGAAAATCTTCTCTTTGATGAGTATTAGCAAATGCAATAGTTAAAAAAAAATCTATAGCAATTACAAAATAAGAATTCTAATGATCAAAGAGACTTAGTCTAGTTACACCTCAGTTTAAGTATATATACACACATTTGACATTTGTTCTGGATAAATCAATGTTCAATACTTACCCTTTTCTAAAAAATTTTAAATATTTTGAGGCTGACATGTAGCATGATATATCTTGAGTAATTTAATTTAATTTTATTCCTTGTCATTTTTTAATTTTATTCTTTTGAAGTTGACCAGAGAGAGACAGAGAGAAAAGGGACCAGCAGTTAGCGTAATGGCTATGTCACTGGACTCCCACGTAGTCGACTGTGGTTCGAATCCCAGACCCGGCAGCTTAAACTCACACCAGGCGCGTGTGCGTGCATGCCCAGGATCCTGAGAGGAGAATGGAGAAAGGATTGTGGTGTGGCCATCACCCCGGGGGGTGATTTCTCGCTTTCTGTCTCTCTCTCTCTGTCTTTCTGGGGAGCGCTCGTGCCCTATAGCAAAAACCTCTAAAAAAAAAAAAAAAAGAAAAGAGAGAGAGACAGAGAGAAAGAAGGAAAGCGAGAAAGCAAGCCACCAAGTCCAGGACTCGAAATGTGGTCAACCATGTGGGAGTCCAGACACCTGTCGGCCCCCCAAAATAGTTATTTTTTAAAAATTAAAAATATTCCATCTATTGAAAAATTTTACTTGCTTGAGAAGTTTTATTTAACGTGAATACATTTTTATTTGAAATTTACCCCAATAGGAAATTCTGTCTGAGTCCACTGCTGCAATGCTAACAGAAATACCTAAGACAGGTAGTATGGAGGTTAAGGCAGCTGGATTCCACATGGCCAACTGTGTGGATCTAGTGTCAGACCTGAAGGCTCGAAAATCATGCGGGACGAGTGTGTGCCCAAAATCCCGAGAGGAGAACGGAGAAGGGACTGTAACATGGCTATCCCTCCCTCCCAGGGGGCGATTTTTTTTTACTTCCTCTCTTTTTCTTTCTTTCTGGTGAGCACACATACCCTTTGTTAAGGAAAAAAAAATGAGAAAGAAATAGAAGTTTATTTGAGTGACTGAAAAGTTCTAAGATTTGGGATGATATCTGTTCAGCCTACAATATGGCTGACAGATGCAGAGATTGGTGAGCAGGTGCAGGGAGACAGCTGCAGGTAGATGCCTTATAACCTGCTCTCAAGCACTAACTTCTTCTCATTAGAGTTAGAACTCAGCCTGTTAGCAGACAGCATTAATCCATTTACGAGGTCAGTGTGTTCACAATTCAATCATTCTCCAGGAGCCGGCAGGTGGTGTGGTGATTGAAGGCGCTGGACTCCCACATGGCCAATCATAATTCAAGTCCTGGACCTGATGGCTTCCTTTCTCACTTCCCTCCCTCTCTCTTTCTCTGGTCAAATTGGAGAATAATAATCATAATAAATAAAGTTTTAAAAAAATCATTCTCCAGTTACTGTCCACTAGGACTGAATTCTAAACATGAACCTTTGGGGGACAAACTATTACACAAACCATAACAAAGACATTATAAAAGGAATTTTGGTCAAGTACATGAGAGAAACTGAAACTCTTCTGTGTGAAAATGATTAATTCCCTGTCCTTTGATTGATAATTCATTCCTCTCTTTAATGAATTTCAATTCTTGGTAATTAACTGTTTCTTTGGTTAGGTAAACGAAGATGAGGAAAATCAAGACACAAAAAACATTTTTAAAGGGTATCGCCCAGGGAAACTCAAACTCAGTTTTGAAGAAATAGAAAGACAAAGGAGAGAAGACGAAAAGAGGAAAGCAGAAGAAGAAGCTAGAAGAAGAATAGAGGAAGAAAAGAAGGCATTTGCTGAAGCAAGGAGAAGCATGGTAAGAAACTAACCACTACGATTCAGCTTCTAGAGTATGTCCCATAGCACAGTGGTTAAGTGCCTTTACACAGGGAGCTGGCTTCCCCTTGGCCAACTGCAGTTTGAGTCCTGGTCCTCGTAGTGTGCCTAGAATCCTGACAGGGTGGAGAAATGAAGGGAAAGAACTGCAGTGTGTCCACACCCATTAGAGGGTGCTTGCTCTCTCTCTCCATCTCTCTGTCTCTGGTCAGTGTGCTCTTTTTATTGTCTCTGCCCAAAAATATAAATAAATAAAGACTCTGCGTAATGTCCTATTATATCTGGAATCTGTGCTTAAGAGTAGAATGGCAAATAGTTTTAATTTTGTCCACAGGATATTAGTCATTTGAAGGTATTTGCTTCAATTTAGCATTTTTTAAAGAATTATTTAATTTTACTGATTGATTTATTCATTTAAATTTGACCAGAGAGAGATATACAGAGAGAGAGAGAGGGAGGGAAAGTGCGAAAGCAGGCCACCAGTTCTGGGACTCAAACGTGGTCAGCCATTTGGGAGCATCCAGCACCTTAGCCACCACACCACCTGCTGGTCCCTCAATTTAGCATTAAGAAGGTTCTGATTGGGCCAGTCAATGGTATGGTGGTTAAGGCAACTGAATCCCACATACTGTGCAGCTTGAGTCTCAGACCCAGCAGCCTGAAAAAACACCATGGGCTTGTGTACATGCCTACACAAAATCTGGACAGGAGGAAGAGAGAGTGAAGGTATTCCAACATGACCATCCCCTATGAAAGTACTCTCTTTGTCTCTCTGGCAAACTCATATACCCTCTAGCAAATTAAGAAGAGGCTTCTGATTAAATTTCAGTGCCACAAAAGATGGAATATTATTTTCCTTCTTTGGGAAGGCATGTTTTCCAGAACTGAGTACCAAGGAAGAATCGGTGCATTTCTCCACTTCTTCTTCTCCAGTCTCTCCTCCCCTCTTGTCCCACATTCCCTCTATCCTTTATTCTTTCCTTTTTTTCTTTCTTTTAAATTTACATTTCATCTAGTACATATATGGTGTCTTTAAAACATTCACGGAAAATGTGTATTATGAAAAAAACATATATGGATTTCAAAAATATTTTGCACCAAAACAAACTTATACTTCCATTTTTCCATTAACTTTTCCCCCTTTTATTATGCCAGAGCGTCCATGTGCAAGAGAGACTCACAAAAAGGGGGAGAAAAAGAAAGCACACCTTCCCACCCAGTGGGGCCGGGTAACACAATAATCCTTTTTCTTTAATTCTCCATTCCATCAGGATCCCAGGCATGTGCGCCTGGTATGTAAGCCACCAGAGGCTATGTCTGAAATTTGTTTAGTCATGTGGGATCTGGCTTCCCCTGCAGTGCACTTAACTACTGTGTTACAGGGCTGGCCCATTTCTATGGACTTTTTTTTTCCTTTTTTTTTTTTTTTTTTTAGATTTTTGCTATAGGGTGCATACCCTCCCCAGAGACTGAGAGAGGAAAAGTAAGAAAGCACCCCACAGGAGGAATGGTCACACTACAGTCCCTTCTCCAGTCCCCTCGGGATTTTGGGCATATGCACACACACCTGGCATGTTTTTCTTTATTTTTTTTTAGAATTACATTTTTATTTATTTATTCTTAAATTTGACCAGAGAGGGAA